AGCTACATTGTCACTTGCAGATATTTCTCCCGAACAATCCGTCATAGCCAAACGCAATCACCAGCGCCAGTTCGATAATGCACCCGGGCCCTTAGAACTTAACCAATCCCCAAATCTGCAAAATCACGTACAAAAATAAAAATAAATTCAAACATTACGAAACAATTTACAAAACTCTAAAGGTAAACGAGAACGTAGAGGAGAACTAATTAGCTGCGCTAAACTACGTGACAAAATGCCTAATAAATTAAGAATATCACACCAACAGAATTCAGCAGAAATAAATAAAAATAGCCGGTAGCTGAAATAAATAAAGCAAAAAAATTTAGCTTCAGAATTCTTGTTCACTTTGCCTTTCCAACTTTCTTGAAGATAACGCCAGGTGAAAAAATTTTTGTCCACTTTTTTCTTTTTTCTTTCTCCTTTGCTCTCCGCTTTCTGCCTTTGATTTTCTGCTGACAAAACAAATCTTTAAGAGAAAAAACGCAACAAAGATCGAAGTGGCAAGAAATAAAAAAGAAGAAAAACAGTAGCATAAACAAAATCAAAAAATGCTAGCAAGAAGATAACACCTCTTTACTATTTATGATGGAAGAACAAAGTCTATCCCTCAATATATTTGACAATGTTCCGCAGCAGTAATCAGAAGAGATTGTTTGCGGGTTAATGACCAAATGTAACCAGCGGAAAAAAAAAGAAGACAAAAAATAAGGAAAAAAAAAAAACAAATGATTCATTAAAAAACAAAGACTAGGAAAAAGAGGCGCAACTAAATTCGTCCAACGAGCTGAAACTTTAAATTCTTGTTCAGACCATTTAGGAGTGAACATCTGAATCAAGCCAAGATAAAAGAAAAAAAAGGACGAAAATTTTAGATATCCCTATAGTCCAAACAATTAATAATCACAAATGAAAACCTTTAAATTGTGTTTATAAGTAAAATGAACAGAGTTATTATGCCAGCATTTGCTGTAATCTGTCAGCAAACAAACAAACTCAAAAAAAAAAAAAAAATAGTAAAGCTTTCAAAAACAACAACAGACGTCTATGACATTCATCCGAACTGTTCATAATAAAAATTCATTTATATGTATATATTCGCTTACCCTTAGATACTTGTATATCCAAAACTTTATCCCACATCGAGTAAACACACTTCCTTCTATTTTTTCTTTACTTTCTCCCCTTCAGTGCAAAAATTCCTGATATCTTTTATTTTTTCATTTTTCCTTTTTGTTTTTTTTTTTGGATGTTAACGAAGCGTAGAAGAGAAAAATGAAAAGTAATAATTAAAAGAAAAGTGAACATCCACTCTCAAAAACAATAATAGCAACAACAAGGATAAGGATTACCAATGAATACAGCTCAAAGAGAAAAAAAAAAAAAAAGAACGCTGGACTCAGAAGAGAAAATATGCATCAAAAATCATAAAAATCCAAAAGAAGGCAAAGAAACGAGAAACCAACCACAAACAAAAGAAAATGTCTTTTTTTACTGTCGTCTTTAATAGTGACATTGAAAAAATAAAAGTAAAAATTTAAAGATGGAAAAAAAATGAATACACTAAAAAATCGAAAAACCTGAGAACAAAAAACTTCAAGGAACATATCAATACAAAAACAAAGTGAAATAAAAAAACAAAAACAAGAATAAACCCCGAATAAAACAACATAGCTAAAAAAAAAAAAAAAAAAAAAAAAAAAAAAA